AAATATATTTTACACACACACACACACACACACACACACACACACACACACACACACACACACACACAGCTGTTTATAAATTTGGAAACGTTTGCGATTTTCTCACATTTCAAAATCTTAAGTATCTCAGTGAAAAAAAAAATCGTAGAATTTAAAAAAATGCATTTTAATTCTTTCCTTACCGTACGCGTCCGCGAATAAGCTTTCTCTGTACCGAGGATGTCACCACAAGTGCCCACTTTAAAGACAGAGAGACATATGTTTACATCTAACTGTTAAAGCGCGTCACGCGTTCATCTACAATTTATAGTCGCCTTGTCGGAACTGATTATTAATTATAAAATAAAATTGTTAGTATCCACAGTTCGTTACGTGGATGCCGACTAAAATCGGCGTTAATATTGAAAGCAGAAAAATAATTAAAAAGGAAAAATAAAGCTTCAAATTGGCGTTTGAATTTTGTTCTTATAGTATTTTGTTCTTAAACAAAATTGTTCCTAAAAAAAAATTACATAAAATTGAAAATGGAAATTGAAAATTTTTTTTAATTGAAATTTTTTTTTTAATATTTATTATTTTTCTAAGCATTCTACCTGGATGGAACATCATTAGAAGAAATTTAACAAACATTTTAAAGTAGACTTTCTGAGCTTTAAAATGCTTTTTGAAAAAAATTGTTACGTTGATTCACAAAGATATCGAATTTTTTATTGTACAAAATTTTATTATGTAAATGTATTACTTTTTCTATACACACACACACACACACACACACACACACACACACACACACACACACACGCGCGCGCGCATATTACGATTTTATGTAATTTAAAAACGAAATAATAATAGAGAAATTCAAACACCGATTTGAAACTCTATTTTTCTTTTTTGAAATGCTTTTGAAATCTTCTCTACGATTTTTTTTCATCGAAATACTTAAATTTTTGTAAAATACGAGAAAATCACAGCGGTTCTGAATTTATAAACAATTTTGTGTGTATATACATACGTACACATAAATATATGTATATATGTGTATCAGCGGCCTTAAAAATTAAAATAAATACATCTTTTACGTTAAATAAATACATTGTTTATGTTAAATAAAAACTGATGTTCTAACTGCTTTCTAAATGCTTGAGCATTTTTTGAGAATACCGAGTGCTTTTATTCAAGTATTTTGATATGACTCTTTCCTTAACCATTTTGCTCTTATAATTAGTTAAAGTAACTAGAAATGATTTTGTGCTAAACTATCCTTTGTTATGAGTTAAGCCTCATAAAAATTCTTCTAATCTATTTGTCGGAAGAAATAACGGACGCATTACGTATTAGTATCGATTTTTTAAATTCACGCTTTGCCACTTCTTCAGGCCGTCGTGAGCACCTATTAAAGGGATGCTGGTGTCTACCATGATGTAATACCAACAAATCATACATTTCGCACTTTTCATTTTCTTCGTTTTCCTTATACAAAATAAAAGATCCTCCAAAATAAAAGAAAATGTGCAAATAGTTGTGGTAAATTACAAACCTGTATGAAAAACAAAAAATGTTGTAAATTATATAGTTTTCTGTTATTATGTAGGTTATTCTTCACATGATATAAGCATTAAATAAAATCCAAGTATATGTATATCCAAACAAGAAGTAATTTCTATTACGTTTTAATAATGTAAAGAATATAGTGAGATCTTCAAATTATATGAATTTGAAGCTTACAAGAAGTAAAATGAAAAAGTACGATCTGAGTGTACATAATCTTCCAGACAGCACAAAATACTGAAAAATAACGAAATGTTGTCTTCGACAAATCGAAAAGATATCTAAAAGATGATGGAAAGATATCGTTTTTAGTTTGTCTTTTCGACAAGACGAAAAGATGTTTATAAAATGTCTTTTAGTTTTATCGAAAAAACAATTTAAAAAGAATGTCTTTTTGTCATCTTTCTGGTTGTTTTGTGTATCTTTTCGGCAAAGTGAAAAGTCAACTAAAAGATATCTTTTCATATTATCAAAAAAGTAACATAAAGAAAATATCTTTCCACTTGATACTTTTCATCACTCACCGCAGTATGTAAGATTGCTATCAGACAGACGCAATAGAGTTTAGTTTCTCTTGTTTAAAAACTATACAGAACAGAATAAAAAATGCAAACATTATGAGAAATTTTATTCGTCTTCTAATGAACACTAATGAAATATTTTTTAGAAGCGAGTCCCCAAAGTAGGGGACTATGAAAGATAATGGCTTTTGCACATGGCAAACATTGCAGGACTCATAAATAAGATGTATATTAACAGTCATACAATTTCGTCTAGTTTTGGGTAAAAATTAATTCAGGAATCTAATGTTATTAAATATGTCAAAATACAAAAACTAAAAGAAATCTTAAAAACGACTAAAAAATATCTACAGAAGTCATCTTTTAATTATCATATGGATAAAAAGCTGTAAAGATGACTAGCAGTGTGACATCTATTTAGTTATCTTTTCGTCGATTACTATATTCTTTCACTAAAAGACATCTTTATAACAAATTAGTCATCTTTTAGACAACTCTGTGCTCTCTAAGCTAGTATTCATGCGATATATAGGATATAACAGCAAAAAAATATATGTAATGTTTTACTCAATGTATGTAATGTACTTCTACTTAGGCCCAACCTCACAACTATCACGATTAACTCTTAATCGAAGTTCAATTCAACTTTGAATTGGAAAGAGATGAGGAATAAGTTGAATCTCGCTTAAGTGTTAATCATGAATTATAAAATTGAGCCTTAATATATGTATTGTTTTACTTAATGCATGTAACCTTTTATTTAATATGTCGTTATGATTTATTTGAATTAAGAATTTGTTTTATCATATCAATCGACAGTCACTCCAGCATCCCCTTAAGAGAATCTTAAAGCTATCTATTTTACCGACTAAACATAATACTTTTTCTGTCGTACTTTTTTCTTCTTTACAAATTTGAAAATCTTTTTCCAGAATTAAAGTGTACGCATTAATACATGTCTGTGAGCTGGAGTTTATACTGGAGAACGGAAAGTTTCTTAAAGTTGAAATTTTCCTTATAATTTCCTAGTATACAATATGGTGTATAGAACCGTTAATATCATAATATTTGCTTGAATAAAAGTTTTATAATTTATACTTACGAAATTGTAACATTTACAATAATTTACACGAACAAATAATAACATCGAGTTTTCAATTCGATACGAAAATGTTTTACGAAAATTTATATATATGTGTAAGTGTTCATGAGATATTGATGTAGTATGTAATATGCAGTGATATATTAATGACATGTAAATTGTATGTGTGTAAATCCTATTAAGTCGATAAAATAGACGATTTTAGGATCCACTTAAATTTCTAAACTAAAGAATCAAATCGCGTTACGACTATCTGTCAACTTCTCGTTGAATGTCGCTTTTTAAACTATGAAAACGCTAAAGCTACAAGAACGGTACAGAATGGAGGCGTAAATCTCCATAAGGAGATTTGGCGTAATCATCACTCACTTTTGTATCTTCGTCCGCCAGATCAACACCGTAGTTGCTCGAAGTGTTGTCTTCCTCTGTAAAAAGATAAAATATTTGGCGAATTTCAAATTCCTTTCTTCTTGTTGTTTTAATATTCGTAATTAACTCTCAACTACATCAATGAGTCTTTTTTATAAAAAAAAAGTTTTAATTAATTAATTGGTATTTTTGTATGATTGACACCAGGATTTAGAATTACAGCTAAATTCACTTTGAATTCTCCTCTAATAATCGCCGTACGGCAATTTTTACTTATATTTATGTTGAATATTCAAACGGGACGCTTGAAAAATCTAAGATGGGTTATTTGGATGGACGGACGATGTATTATATAAGGACTGCGGAAATGTTACTCAGATACTCCTGTCTATTATCTTATTCTTATTTAACATTGGATAAATAACAAGGATAAAAACCAAGGACAAAACGATACACTAACTCATTAGGTCACTCGGATAATGTTTCCGAACTTAAGCTATTAGATTTGTAAGTTTTTTATTGTACTAATATTTGAAATTGAATATTTAATGAAAAAATAGTTTTATTTATGGAAAACGTGTCTTTTAAAAGCGTGAAAGACGACCGTTAGATGTGTTTACTTTTGGTAGAATAAAATCATAAATAAAAAGAGACGAATTTTTTTGCGAATTTAATCCGACGTTATAGAGATTGGGTCATAATAACCTGAGACGTTTTTAAACATCTGTCTCTTGTTACATACATTTGGATTTTAACTTTCAGTAGCTAGAGATGTTTACTGTTTATTTTAGATAAAGAGTTTAGTTCAGACTGACTATATTATATATATATATATATATAAGAAACTACTATTCCTACTAATAATAAAATTAATATTTTACTATTTTGTAATGCTGACATTTTTACTTAACCTTTTTAGTAAAAGAGCATGAGTTAGGAGAAGAAACAGAAATGATGGATCATTTTTAGAAAAGTTGAGAGTATACCATTCTATGATGATGTCATGCCTTGTTTTGAAATCATACTTCAATTAAAATACTTCACCCACTGATAAATAATTGTACTTTTGAGATTAAATGTTATGATATTTTTCTTCTTAAAAAGTTTATGATGTCCTCTTTCTAAGATGATATTTAGTTTTGTTTTTTGATTTTTTTTTTCGTAAAGATTGATTTTTTTGAACACTCTTTTTTTACACTTTTCTTCTTTACAAAATTTTTATTTGCGTTCAGCAGAGAAAATTAACGCTTAGTAGGTAAATCTTTTACGATTGGTTCTTACCTTTAGTTTCTCGTTCTAAATGTAGGAAATAATCTTGTTAAAGTATCACTAAGCGCTAATTGATTAGTTTTCTCTGCTGAACGCAGCCATTGTGATCAAAATTTTTTTGCTTACAGATTTGAATTTTATATACAATAGTTTGGCGTTTTGTTAAACAAAAAAAAATTAATTAAAATCATTGAAATTTGTGAGAGAAAAAACTTCGGGTCTAAAATATAAATAATGTAGATTAGGATGAGTTTTTATAGTTTTGTGATTGAGGATTAATAATACATTCGGGCCAATAATGATTTATGATTAATCGGAATCGCTTACATTTTTCAAAATTATTGCTTATTGTGCCAGGAAAGGAATAAATGACATTGCATAGAAAGAGAAAATGTAATTATTAAGTTATATAAGTAATCTCTCTCTCTTATTGGGACATGAAAATGATTTTCTTGAAACTGCTTGAGAAGTAATTATTTCACGGGCATGCCTAGCTTTGTCCAATTTTGTAGAAATATGCCACTCTTTAATCGATGATACAATAGTCGATTAGATTTACATGTTTTCAAATCTGTGATTGAATCAAAGTTGACAATATTAAGTTATGTATAAATATGATGTATTATGAAGCGATATTATTAACATATTAAATTACAATTGCTCTTTTATTCTGAAATTATAAAATTAATGTATACAGGAAATCGTAGTAAATAAATTGTAAATAATTGTTTCATAAAATGAATTATTCTCATAAAACGCAATTGAAAGCGATTGAAATGGAAACAGAATTATCTCTTTTTTTTTATACAACATGCAGCAGATTTCTTTATGATGTACACACAAATCACGCAATCTGACAGAAGGCCGTGGAAAGACGATGAAAAACCATGGATGACAATATTAGATGAAATTTATTATTTATTAATTCATTATTTAAATTTTCTTTGAATGATTAAACATATTATCTAAAGTATTATTCTTCAGCAGTTAGATAATTGATATTTTGAATTGTTATTGAGAAAAGAATTTCAGTAGATCAGTTCAATATATGTATAATTTAAGATTGTTAATAACATTGTTAAACAATCCACCGATGATTATCGCTTTAGTGCGATAATGGATAGGAAATGCGATAGCCATTGAATTTTAGAAATTTATCTCTCTATATTCCCCCTTCTCTATGTTTTTATGTCACGATCGAATGCGTTCGACAGGCATTACTTATGTAGGCAGTAGGTATGTATATCGTACGTGATTCGTGCGCAAGCAACACAAATTCCATACTGAATGATTGTAACTAGAACGAATTACAACTCGGCGTTTGCGACGCGAGTGACATGACTCATTCACCTCACAGAGAAAGATATACATATAAAATAAATATGGCTAAACTACAACGCTATGTACGGCACATTGCTATAAGTACATATTTAGACATATGTTGTGCTACATTCAACAATTCAATAAGATCTCTGACTTTTTAAGTTTCTAAGACACATTATCTTATTTCACATCACATTGTCCAAAAAATATTCGAAAAATATCCGAAATGTTCCACTGTTCCGACATTTTACAATGACAATTAATTTGTCTATATTTCATTATTATTGAATCGTTCCGCCGACAATGTCTTATCGACATTGAAATTATATTGAGATCAAATTTCTGGCAATACTCCATGTTCTTTAACAATTCATTCAAATTCAAATATCTCGACAGTTTGCCAAACGGTAGCAGTTTCGTTACGTGCGTTACACAAAATTTGATTAATATAATTATTAACTCACCAATATAAAAGGGAGCCGTGTCGTAAGCGTTACAAGGGCCCGCGTGCCGTGTTTCAAGAACGAAACCAGTAACACAGGCGTCCTTGATAATGTGACACCAGCTGGGATAGGTGATGTTATTTGTCGCACATAACATGGTCATCGACGGATCTCGATCTCGCTCTCGATCTCTGTCACGATGCGTCCTATTCCGGATGCGCTCCCGCTTCCGGGGGCAACGATACATACAGGTCACGCAACGTGGTCGTCCAGACTTCATTTCGGATAAACAAGTTTGGCCCTCTCTACAGCGTATCTTGGTACAGTCTGCGCTTTCTGTCAAAATCAAATAACTTGAAAATTACTTTGATTTTTTAATAGGGGAAATTTATCAATTTACAAGCACCTTGAAAGCACCATTACCGCATGTTTTACAACTATTGATTCAATCAAGTTATCAATCATAAAACTTTTTTCCTAGGCTGAAAAGTGAAAAGTGAAAAATTTCTCCATTAATTTTAATGGTTAAAATTTTCACTTTCCATTCTAGAGATAAAGTTTCATGATAGATACCCAGAGTAAATGCGTTAAGATCGATCGCAGCAAACAGTCATTGATAAATCACTAATATATTTACTGCTACCATATTAAAGTAATCATTCTGCATATTTTTTTTTGTTAAATATTCGTTAAATCATATTATAGATATATGATATTACTTAAAATTAATTGGTCAGTTTTCCATATATTCCTTCTATAAAGTACAATAGTTTTTATAATATTTACAAAAGATAATTATAATATATTTTCCGTTCTATATCCAAATGTTTGTTGGAAAAAAGCACATTTTTTTAAATAACTGCGCAAATAATTGTGTTTTATCTAATTTTAACCTCTTTGATCTGTATGTATTTCGAAATTGTGTGCAGAGAGAATACAAAAGACTAGAAGTGCGTTCGCTCTCGCTTAAGTTTTATCCTATCTTCCTTCTGCATAAAGATAAAGAGCGATAAAGATAAGAATAAAATAAAGCTTACAACGGCCAAAGCGAGTGTACCCTAAATCAATCGTTAAGACCTATTCTATCTTTGTCACTTGGCAATTTCGTGACATTGACTCATTCGCAAACGTGATTTCTATCGTGATAAAACGATACGATGTGTGATACTACTTATTTTTAGGCTAATGGTCTACTTTTAACGTGAGTATTAATTAATAATAAATTGGCAACAGATTACTTTAACTCAGATTACTTTAACTCTGATTTTTGACACGCGAATGTAGATTTTAATATAAAAGAAGAAAAGTAATGCAATTATATACTATATATATATATATATATATATATATACAAAAAAGTCATTGGGCATTCAGTCTAACGTAGCATTGACATAACATTGTCAACGCTCGAATTGCATCACACAATTTAAATGTAATCGTCGTTAGGTTAAGTTAGGTTACTCATCAAATGCGTGCTATATGATATATGATAATATAGTATTACTTCATCAAAAATCGCGCGCAACCTATTTTTTTCTCACTCTAAATTTTATATTGAATCAAAGACATATTTATACATATATTTATACACACTAAAAAGCAATTCAGATCAATATCGAATAGTTTCGTTTTATTATATATAAGTATAGTCTCTTCCAATAGATAACTTTTGTAGTATTAGAACCGTTTTTGATCCATCTGAGACAGACACACACACACACACACACCCACACACACCCACACACACACACACACACACACACACACACACACACACACACACACAAATTTTCCAATTTGGATTTATACGTGGAGCTTTAGATTTTTTGTGATTTTTCATAAATAATCATAATTAATTACAAATAATTTTATGATGATAACCCTCCCTCATAAAAAGTCAGATTTACCTTGAATTGCGATTGAGTTCATTTAGATCCGCGGTTCTAGTGTTAAGTATAATATAATTGTGCATTCAAACTGGAACAATAAAACTATTAAAAAATAGAATAAGAGAAATTTTGATTTTACATTTGCTTTCGAACTCCTTTAAAGGAAAAAGGTTTTTTGACGTCATATATCTTTTTCTCTAATCTGATAATTACATTATGATCTAAATGATAGCGTTATGATAAAACAACATGATAAAAAACATGTTTCATGTTTATTATAACATTATCTTAATAACTATCATCCAAGTGCAGGAGACATATGATAAGACTGCAAATGTTGGATGTATTGTAATGTTATTATGAGTTATGTGTAAAGTAGATAGATACAATTAAAAATATATTTCATTCTTTCTCTCTGTAACTTATTGTTTGTAATTGCGCTCGTAATGATAACAGTTATCCATATTTATACATATATATGTAACGTTTTTTACGTTTCTAACGGTATCATAGAAATGATATTTCTCTTCTCGATTATAATTTTATTCTTCTATGCCATTATCCATTTCCGTCTCTGTCAGCAGTCATAATTTGCCATGCGACAACCGGATAATTCTCATCGCACCGCATCATTTGCCGTCAGCATGGCATGTAAGAACCGCGTCAAGTATTGACGGATGAGAAATGATGTCAATACGTGTACGAATCCTCCATTGCATTGGCGAGTCGAAAAAATAAGCAAATTACTTAATGCCTTCAGTGACAAAAATAAACGACCGCACAATGAAAAAGCTTTAAGAGAGTATAAGATATTGCGGAACTATATAAGGGGAGAACGAAGGAAAAGGTAGGAGGAGACAAGAAGATGTGACGAGGTTCGAGAAAAGTTGATATACGTTCCGTGAGCATAGGTATTGCCGTATGTATATTTACAGATGCGTGCACTTTCGCGCCTCGGATCCTCGAATCGGAGAAAGACGATTATTTGCATCGCGACACCTCGTCGCTAAACCGGCTGTTTTATTTACTTATTTACCTCTTCGTCGCACACACGTACTACATATACCATGCTGATCCTCTGAACCTCGCGGTGATCGTTAGCTTTTCTTTTTACTTTTTTTCATTCGCATGAGAATTCGTTTTCACGGGCCAAAAAAAGAGATTGTCAATATATATTATAGATTGCTATGGAGAACTCAAGTTTCAAGTGTATGTACAGATTGAAAATATCACTGACAATGAGGTAGGAATAATGTACCCTTGTACCGCTAAAGAAAGAAATAATAATTATTGTGTGTGTGTGTGTGTGTGTGTGTATGTGTGTGTGTGTGTGTGTGTGTGTGTGTGTGTGTGTGTGTGTATAAGTAGAAAATAAACAATTTTGCACACAGTAGAAGTAATCTACAATTCAATTTTGATGAACTAATTATGCTATACATTTAATATGGATTAATCGACTTTGACTCGTCACTTTCGTCAGTTAATTTCATTATAGAACATTGTACAAACTCCTATTCATTTTCCGAATAATTACTAGGCAATTTATTTCAAATTTTTAAGTCGGTATAGATAGTTTTACTTTGTGATCACAAATACTTATACATTTTAACATTTTATAAATATATTATATGTTGTATAAATATATTATATCTGAAAGAAAAGAAAAAAAAGCAAGTATATGTAAAACTATACTATAGAGTAAGTATATAAAAAAATATAAGCTGGAAATGTATACATATATGTATATACTTGAAAGTTATAAATCTATTAAAGGAATATTAAGCTCTATAATATAAATACATTCCATTCGATATCCGAATTTGAGAAATCATACAATTCTATCTGTAGGAGTGTCAGAATTAAGGCAAGACAACTAAAGTGATTTCTATTTCTCACGATAAGACACCAAAAACTCATCCATAAATCTAAAATTTCGCTATCAACAATCAAACGCAACGTTTTATTTGATAAATATTCTTTTGATAGATATCCTAACTGAGGATAACTAAAATTTGAAATTTTCACCATTGTCTATTTCGTAGTATTAGTACATTATGAGCAGTTAAGTTACAATAGAAGCAACTTATCACCCCATAATTCTTTATTATTAAATTTACAATCATTTATAATATTTACAAGGAATATTTGATAGTGTTCGCGAAAGGAACATAATAATGCATGCTGTATAAAAACAAGTCTTTTCCTTAGTACACTTGCAACATGTCAACATGTGGCAATGCTAAAGTAATTACGAATAAATTTTTGCTCGATTGATTTGATGATTGGTTTGCAGAATTGTCTAATAACCGTGTAACTATTATATAATATGTGTAAAGCGATGGTAATTATAATATTAAGTTCGAAACAAGTGTTATTTATTATTAGATAAAATATCGTAATTCTTCATCATGGATGATACCAAATCAATTGTTTACAAAAAAGAACAATGCAATTGAAAGTACAACGAAAACGCTAAAAAGAGTTTAGTACTTCAGCAAATGTATATATGTACAATACGTGTGGTACTTAAGAAAAGTAGCACGACATTGATAGTCGCCGTTGGCGCACGAGTATCGTCCGCGGAATCGTTTTGTTGTCACGAGGATATGTAAAGTATAGTCACGACGTGCATATAGTTTGCAAATCAGCAAAGGTTTCTTTCGTGGATTGTTTACAGTATCGAGCATCATGACTACGACATCGCTATGGGGATAGATGTAGAAACTTAAGTGGCGCGAGGTGAAAAACATAATGAGTGGGAGCGAGATGTGTTAAGAGGTAAAAGATCGGTGGTCTGGTGGGGTGGCACCATGGCGCGCTGGCGAGAGAGCTGATTCGCAATGTAGAAGTATTCAGCTGGAGGCATGCAGCGGTGAATGTCGATGTTGAGACGTGAACACGTGGATGTTGATATGGTTGTGAGAAGAAGGAGGGAAACAGTAGAGCAAGACGAAACGATATCGGTCCATCGACCAATGAGAAGAGAGAAAGAAAAACAGAGAGAGAGAGAGAGAGAGAGAGAGAGAGAGAGAGAGAGAGAGAGAGAAAGAGAAAGGAAGACGGTAGAATCTTGTGCCAGAGTCTAATAAAAAAAGACGAACTTGGCACGGACAGCGCGGTGCTTGGCACTGGTCAGACGTCCGTGGCCTCGCCAAGCTGTACCGTGTCAGTGTATGGCGTTATACTGAATACTGTTACCGGGGACTGTGTCCATACAGACTCGTGGAGGGCTGCTGCGGTTTCTTGTACAAACTTTACTCGCCCTGCTCCGCCTTACTCTCTCCCCTTTTTTCCTTTTATTTTGATACTTTTCTGTCTCGTCTTCTCTTTTTCATCTTCTGTTCCTTCTTTCTGTTCCTTCTTCGTTTTTTTTTACTCTCTTCGATTTGCATTTGCCGCTTCTTGTCTTCGTTACTTCTCCATCGTTCTAACAACACGATTCTCTTCGATCCTCAACGTTCTTCTCTTTTCTCTTCCTTTTATTTTTGAGTTCTAGAAAGAACTCGTACGGTATGTTCCATATACATAGATATATACTCCAAGATATATACTCCACTTTATTTGCGTCTAACGCAGACTCTTCTTTATCTCATTTTTGAATTAATATAAACTGATCTTGATAACCTTACGGTCGTGCGATTCACCTGTTTCCAGAAGGTGAAGGAGAATTTTTTGAAAAACAAAAGAGAAGGAGAAAAGGAGGGGGGGGGGGGGGGAGAGAGAGAGAGAGAGAGAGAGAGAACATTTTACAGATTTGCAGTTGGAAACATTTAAACAAGAGCATTACTCAATCTCGCGTTTATTTTTTGATAGATAGCTTTTCCTTTAATTTTAATTAAATTTTATTAATATACCGAATGATAGAAATAATTTTTTGAAATAAAACAGAGCACTTAAAAAATAAATTTAATAAATGCTTTGCAAAGAAACCAACTTTCACTTTTCCAATTAAATTTATGACATATAAATTTATAAAAAAAACTGAATGAAATATTCAATTTTCATTAAACACGCGCGTGTGCAATCAATTGTCATAATATTGTTATTCAGTATCGAATTTAAAAAGAGATTTTAATTAGAGACATCCAAAATTTTTCAAAAACCGAGAAAGAAAGCCAAGAAAGGAAACTACGTATTTTACAGAAAATAATATGCCAATTAATAGGATGTATAATGTTAAACAAAATTGCTAAACAATTGCTAAAAATATAAAGGCACCTCCAGACAATATGGCCAGACGTATATGCCAACTTCGTCCACATTCATTAAACATTGATCTACATTCAATATAGATAATTATGTCATGTACATATATACGTGTATGATATTTGCTCATGTTGGCATACGTTAATCATATCATAGGCGCCTTTAAACAATGCATTTTGTTTGTCTCTAGTTAAATAAAGCACTTTGAATATTAAGTTTTTTTTAATATATAAATTGATGATGAAAAAAAAGACTTTTTAACATCTTATAGAGTAGCTTATAATATGATACATTGAAGACACGTTGTCATTGTTTCAACAGACTACGCCATCTTTAACACAAAAAATGAAATTTTAGACAAAACGCAAAGTAGTATCGAAAGTATTTAAATCATTAAACAATAAGTCATTAGACTATTTAATAGTTTCTTTTAATAGATATATAGGGTGTATTCCCCGAAATTCGAGGATAATAATATTTAATAATGACTGTGTTCAGCACAACACAACAATTTTGCAATCGTTTTATGATTGTCTGAAATAGGATTATTCATCCAGATCTAAAAGTATAATCCAATCAGTGCAAAGAAAACTTCCAACAATTACAAAATAAACGTTCTGCTGAACGCAGCTAATAATAAAGGAACAAAACATTGCCGCTGTATGCACACTATCATATGATATGACTTTTTAATTAATGTTTTTGTCAAACTTTAACCATTTATACTTAAAAAATTACTTTACGGAAAAAATGGCTTACACTTTTATTACTCAATTTTTTATAAAGTTCCATGTTGCAGTAATATTATCCTTAAATTTCGGGACATTTTGCTGTATATGGAATTGGCATTCATAAGATATTTTTACAGATATTTTTTTTACAAATCTAATTTTAAGTAATTTTTTGAGTCAAGATTTTTTTAAATTTATTAAAAGATAAAACTGAATATTAATGTAATAGCAATGTTATTGACAACAAGAATGAAGATATATAATATTTAAATACATATTATTTTATAATAATTTTGTAATGATTTTGCGAAGAGATTACCGTGCAAATAAATAAAAGTACAAAAGAACTATTGAATGGCTATGCTTTGAAAGCATTTTATCAAGCGTTTATGGCAATAAAATTTTAATTTAGATCAAAAAGGCAGTTAAAATTCAAATTTGAAATATATAATCTTATAATTATTAATGTTTTGACGACGGAAAAGACATCTTTTATTATTTTGCTTTATATTGTATTTTTTTTTGAGATTCTAAAAAGAGAGTACACGTTAGGCATGCTTGATGTAATCGTCTTGCGAGACGTCATGTAATGATAAAGCAGAACCTCCATCATGAGCCTTCTCAGAATATCCTGCATAATTACTTTCATATAATATTGTATAAACAATACTTGTTAAAATCTTTATACATGGTATCTTATATGCTCAATACTTTTAGTGTGTATAATATCTTTATAATTAACAACAAATCTCTTCAGCTTCCACAGTTTTCCACCAATTATCAAACTGATCTGATTTCACGGTCGCATTTCTTATGAAATAATAATCGAATTTGAACTTTCATTCTCTGTAGAGAATCCTAATCGATACATGATGAATTCTTGTAGTTGAGTTATTTTTAATCGGGGACAAAAAGTGCGAGAGTACGAAGATAAGTGTCGAAAATGTAAAAGATCGTGTCTTGGATTTTCATATGTACTCATTGCGTAAGCATATTATATACGTTTATTATATGCGTATATGTGAAAATGGCACAAATATATAGTAAATATGTATAATAAATAAGTGCGTGCGTTAGTTAAACTTAATTAGTTAATTAGTTCGTTAAATGACCAGAAGGATGATGTAAAGACATATATTTATAAGCATACTAACGTGCGTTGATTACACTTGCGGTTATACATAACGATACTACTTTTCTTTACACATTCTAGATTCATATTCGCGACTCTTTTTGTTTATTGTTGCTATTATAAAAATTTATATACTGAGCAATTAAAAATCAGATATAAAAAAATGTTAAAAAAAATCAAATAGAAACTAAAATTAACGAATTAACTTTTATCTGTGTTTCAAAGTTAATTTTGTGAGAGAAATTAATAAATCTTCTTAGAGTAATAATTGCGTGTCTATGATATAATGAACACTATTTGAAATATAATCAAAGCGCCAGGTGGTCGTGTGGATCGCGTGATATTCCTTGAAAGATGCCTGATATGATCTCCTGGAAAAGAATCTGTCAATCTGATTGATAATCAGCGATCGTGTCGTGTTCCAAGTTGAGGGTTCACAGCAGTTTCGATCGACGGGAATGAACAAAAAATTATGCTTTTTATCTCTCGTTTTTTCCTTCCACTTTTTAAAATAATTTTTTCTCTTTCGCAACCCAGCAGATCGCATCCCGGTCGATGAACTTCCTGGAACGATCTTGGAATTGCCTTCTGATGTTTTTTTTATTTTTACTTCTCTTTTCTCTTCTCGTCTTGTGATAGAAAACATTCATGAGAAACACGACAGCATAGGTCATATCTTACAGTTATCCATTTTCTATCGCTTAATTATGGATTTTATAAAGTGATCATTAATTTTGAAATAATCTTAAAGTCATGAAAATTTCAGATAATTATTTAAGAATGTCTTCTGTGTGATGAAAATAAAAAGTAAATAGATTTCAGATCATACAAGTTAATATTATAATATAGTAATAATTGAATAGTTAAGAAGATTAGAATCGATAGTATTGATACATTCAAGTGCAGGTGAGCGAAGTCTTTGATCGTTAAATTGTACCTCCAATAGTCATTAGGAGATACAATTTGCCATGTTAAAAGATAAAGCAAGCAAAGACAAGCTTTAAAAAAAAATTCTATTTATTACTCTCAGTTTGGACTCCTTAGTGATTGGTATCGTAATAGAGAACGTGATCGATAAAATTTTTCCGATTTCAATTTTCAAGTATTTATATTGTTATTTGTATTGTATATTTTATTTTATTTTATTGTATGGAGATCTTGCACGCACGCACGCACGCACGCACGCACGCACGCACAATTGAACTGCATATTCTATATCATTTCAGGATTGAATTTATAGTAACCATAAATTCCATAAATTCTTTCATAACCATAAATTCTTTCTTTCCTTTTAATAATTAAATTATTTGTGTTTACAAATGTTTAGACAAAAAATATTTTATTAAAAGTGTGAAATGTGTGAAAAACTTGTGTTGCATCAATAGGTAGTCTATTTCTTTGTACGTAAAATTTACGTTTCAGCAATAATATTATATTCTTCAATATTCGATACATCGATTGTGTTCTAAGATTAAAATTAAAAAATATTGAAAAGAATACTATTGAAAAAACAAATATTGATAATTATAAAGTATGTAGGATAGATATCAATTTAAAAAATATGATATTTACAAACTTTAGTTTAATAACAATACACATTTTGAAACTGTGTAAGGGGAAACAAAAACAATGTTTTATTGAATGCGACGCTAAAGATTTCCTATTTTATTATTCTCATAGATTTCTCATTTAAAGATATCGTGTTTTGGCTGCTGTAGATGGAATAAATAGAATACTTGTGAGATTTTGTCGACATTGCGCAAAACAATAAGACATATTCCGATGCAAAGCAGCAGCCAATTGACTATTCGTTTATTTCATCAATAAAACTAATTTTTTTGCTTTTATTTTTATTTATTTATAATCACCTACATGTCTTCCTATAGGTATCATCTTTGTCAAATTATAACAGCTGTGGAGCGTTTTTATTATTTTATCACTAAAAATTTTGTTAATTGTTAAAATATAAATAGTTCAAATTAATAAATAGTTCATCTGCAATATTCTTGATATTTTACAAAATATTGCAGATCAATTATGCAAAGCAAATTAAAAAGTTCTTGCTTTTGTATATATTTGACTGTTATAATTTTAGAATAATTAAAAAGCGTGTATGCTTGTCACAACTTTGCAATAGATCTTTATTTATGTTATTCTCTATGACTTTTAAAAAGAAACTTTGTAAATGTTCGAAGAAGGATAAATTTGTGTGTGTGTGTGTGTGTGTGTGTGTGTGTGTGTGTGCGCGTGCGTGCGTGCGTGCGTGCGTGCGTGCGTGCGTGCGTGCGTGCATGCGTGTGTGCGTGCGTGTGTGCGTGAGAGAGAGAGAGAGAGAGAGAGAGAGAGAGAGAAACTTACGTTTGCAATGACCCTTATAAGCGACGGGAATGGCGCGACCTGCGCGGCAAGCGGCGAGTCGCAGGTGGCAGGCACTCTTGTAGGTGTTTCCGTCGGCTCCACAGACGGGGCGTGCGCCGGCGACCTGATGCGGGAGTGCTTGGGGGCACCTGCGAGCGCACCTCACACAGTGAGGACTTAGGTTCTGATCCAGCAGACAGCTCCGACCTTGGCCGCACCGAACCCGTGCGCACGAACCTGCTCGACACTTTGCACGTTATTACGCACAGTCGTAAACTACCTCCGTGATAGACGCATTGGTTTTCTTTATTTTTATCCTTACAATTAGTCACCAGCCATTTGGTTTCTACCGATAATTACGTGCTCTCGTTCACTTAGCTGTGTCCTGTTTCCTGTTCGTTTAATTACATGATTCAAATCACTTAATTAATTTAAAATAATCTCAAGAGGTTTCCAGAAATGTGTTAAATTTAAATTATTCAGTATGTCCTATAATTTATTCTCTTAGCTTTGGCATATTAATTGTTTGCATTTTTCACTGTTCAGCTCATTCTAAACTTTATATTAATTTATTTACGTAATTACATTAATATTATTGCATTATATAATATTACATTTTTAAATGCAAGCAACTTGAGACATGTAAAAAGAGAAACTGTACAAGAGAGATTGTAAACGATATTTAATACTAAAACATTTGGTATTATTATGTCGATGTATCGAGCGCATATTTTCTATTTTTCATCAACATTTCGGTATTTTACAAAATGAAAGTATTCTTTTCTTACACGTGCGATCATTAAATTACGAGAATCAAATATGAAACAATTATTATATCGACAAATGATCACCGGATTTCTTCAATTTTATTGCATTTATATGCCCTGTGATACACACTCTTAATATTAACATAATTGTCATTTCTGCGAAAGGAATAATACCAACGAATAATGTCATTAAATATTTGATAATTTCAAAAAAAGAGAAGCAAAATATTTTTACAAAAAAATACTGAGACAATCAATTGATTTATACATATTTACTTTGGCAGTGGCCGTTGTAGGCAACCGAGAGTTCATGACTGCCCTTCTTGCAAGCTCGCTTTTTGAGTCTGCAAAGACTTTTGTAACTCTTGCCATCCGTTCCGCAGACCGGTCCACCACCACGCGGTGCTTTACACTCTGGACTACACACGCATCTCGGTCTTCCTCTACGTACTATGCACTTTTTTCCTTCTTCGCACCTCACTTCCGCGCAACTCTCTGTATCAAATAAAAACGATTCATATCTGTGTACATTTACGTATAACGATTATGTTTAAGATAACGTGATTATTACTAGTTAAGTGCACAGAAATAATAGAATGGAGAAAGAATTTTTGCTTTTTTTCTTTTAATAACTGAAATTACGCACATTACACACACGTACGCAGAAAGAAAGAATATAGTATTTTAGATAAAATCACAAATGAGAGTAAAACTACTTTTTTAGATTATTATTGTTCGATTGAAGATGAAGTGTAATATAACTTATATTTGTGTACCTCGACAAGGGCGACACTGCACACCTCCACCAAGAACTCTCCAGAAGAAGAGACTTCCACTATCCAGATCCTCATCAGAATAAGCAGTCGCTGCTGCTGCATTAGATGCGCAACAATTTTCTCTCGTGATACTTTGCGATAAAAGTTCCTTACACCGTCCGTTACTGATAGATGACCAACATATACCACCTAATACAGATTGATCTAAATAAAATATATGTAAGATTCAAATTTTTTTTGGATGAACTAAAGAAATGGTAGAAATACTACTATAATAAGATTTTAAAGATTATCATATATACGTACGAATAGATTTTATAATAGACAAAGTGTGCAACTCTACACACACACATACACGCGCGTGCGTTTAAAGAAAATTATTCATTTAAAGAAAATATAAATCTTGAAGGTACTTAATAATGTCGAATTGTCCTTTATTTCTTTAGCTTTCGACTATCATGCCATTTTAAAATTGTGAGTCGTGCATTATGTTCAATATATAAACATATGGATGGACGTCTCAAATTGAGTAGATTGTTTTTAGGATTGTTTTGAGCGATACAGCTGTGTTTTCTAATATTAGTTAGCTACATCAAATCAGTAGTACATCAAAAAAAAACATCTTATAAGTTTTTTAATTAAAATGTGTAAAAAAATAACACAAGTTTATGTGATTAATAATAGAGAAAGTGGAACAAAGGCCCATGTTATGTGAAATTATCATAAAATAGGACAAATAAATGTATATTTGTCTATAAAGAAATATGCTTTTATACAATTATTTTTATACTTACAGAGCACATGTACATTACTTTTCTATTAAATCTATAGTATCTAGTGTCTATAGTATTAAATTTAACCTTAATTAATTTAAGTCGCCACTGCTCCTATTCAATATATCGTTAATTTAGACTAAAATAATGGTTTTTTGAAATTATATATTGTTAATTTGACGCTATATAGCATCATGATTTCCACGTTTATAATTTAAATAAAATTTGACTGAAATCATGACGATGTTTATTCAAGACGATATGAAGTGACTGAGAAACTCCTTATTTCGTAATATTAATAAATGTGTATATTTCCTTCTCACATTGAATGATCCCATTTGTTTACTTTTTAATTCTCGCGAATGCCAAGTGAATTTATCAAAAAGTGAAATATATTCGCCATAATATTCGCTATAATATTCGCCATAACAGTAGTATGACATGGACGCTTAATTCAAAATCGAGGCTAAAGTAAACACACATACACACACACACACACACACACACACTCTCTCTCTCTCTCTCTCTCTCTCTCTCTCTCTCTCTCTCTCTCGTAAAACTTTTTCAATTTCTTTTCCTATATATTATTATTTTATTCGAAAATAGTTGCGTTATTGATTTATATATTATAAGCTAGGACGATTTTAAAAGTTTGTATAACGAAGCACAGTTTCAATAATTCTGAACAAAAAACAAATGATTCCTTTTATTGGTTATAAATATTTATAAAAATAAAGTGCAGATGTGATAATTTTATTTAAAATTAGATATAACATTCATTTATATCATTCATTTAACACATATAAAATTGATATATGTATCTTTGAGAATAATAGTAACGTACATTCGAAACTTTTATAAATATTACTCATTTATAAATATTACTGACCTAGTCAAATATGTGCCAATGCGCCTGGTGACGCTCATATACGTAATTATACGATATATTTGTATGATTAAACTATATGCAATTGTAAAGGAAAGTCATCGATACTAATATAGGCTTTCTAAAGAAACTCTCTTGTTTTTCGGAAATTAAATATTGCTCTTTATTAATATTGACCTGAAAAACATGACCTGTTTAGAGAAGTAAAATTAAAGAAGTTCGTAATTCATATATTTAATTGTGTTAACTTATTTCTATGTAAACTCAGCTAAAAACGAATTCTACACATGCGAAAATAAAATTCTTACAATTTTTTTTTGCAAATTGTGTAGTTTAATAATAGTGCAGGCTATATTATTGATAATATAATATCGTTTTACATATTTGTGATTTCCTAAATCAGTTTTATTAATATTTCGTCTTTCTTATTTTTTTTATAATATGGTTTTAAATATAAAATATTAGAGTACAGCGTAAACTGGCACACCTATCTATAAAACAGACCATAAGCTAACTTAATTTTATAGTATTGCGTTATATAGGTATATGTATAGTGTCAGAAATAGAAGTCACTTATTGAAGATGAAAGCAATCATGTATTTATATAAAAAAAAAGTTTAAAAAGAAAAAAGAAACTGCGCGTTATGTCTACATCTTGCAAAACAGTATACAATATATATATATATATAAATTAACAAAAAATATTTTATATCGAAGTGAAAAGATTCTAAGAAAGTCTTATTATATAAAATATATTCACTTGTAAGTATTTTGTGTACAGATGACTCCTTTGAAAGAAAAAGAATAGGAATATATGTGGTATTACTTATTGCTTACTGTGTCAGTTTTGAAGCTCATTTTGTTCGTTTTTGCTTATCTTACGAAAAAGTTAATTATTGCAAAATTACAAACAGTATTATAAACATTGCTATGTTATTTGATCGAAGACACTTTATAGTCGATATTAATTTTTTTAAGTTTTATCTTTAGCTATGGTTTAAGAAATATTGATAATCTTCCTTTGTCTTGCATAGAGAAATCAGATAATATTTATTTCTATTATTTGTCATTCGTTTATTATATCGCCTTTCTCCATTAGTAATGTATTTATTGATAAAATTATAATTTATTCGATATTTTCGCATTTTCTCAACGATTTTGCTACATAGCTATTTATTTATATTGTGATGCGTGTTTCATTAGTGTTTTCATGCTTGCACGCGTGCACGCACGTTGCATGTGAACAAATGTTCTTTTCTTATTGTTTAAGTCACTAATACTGGAAATATATTAATGCGAGACCGTTGTTGCGCTTATTATTTAATTAACTAATTGACGAAACGTGCCATTGTCACTAGGAAGAGACGATGAAATTCATTATTATTACTACCTTGTTATGAAATGAAAGAGAAAGTTTGACAAATACGAAACATTAATTTCTTTACTCGATATAGTGCGATGAGGTGAGATATGGAGAAAAGAAGAGAAGAAAGAAGATGAGAGAGGAAAGAAAAGGAAAAGAAAAAAAGAGGACAGAGGAGAGATGAGATAGAAGAAGCGAGAGAGAAAGAGAGAAGGATGAGAAAAAGGGAAGAGAAAAGGAGAAAGGAGAATTGAGGAAGAGAGACGAGAGGGAAGCATGATGGGAAGCCGAACGGCACAGTTCGGCGTGTCTAGACCGCGACGTAGCTACCGTTTGGCCCAGTTACACCCTTCTTTCTCTCCTCTACTCGTTCTTTTTAAACCTCACTCGTTTCTCATCGAGTTTTCTCGCTCTTTATCTTTTTATAGCTAGTATCACCATTACCATCACCCATCACCACCACTACTTCATCACTATCTTCATCATCATCATCACCACCATCGTAATCATCACCATCATTGCCACCATTACTGCCACCATCACCGTCACCATCTTCGCTTCCACCACCCCTACCACTATACCATCACTATCGTTATCACTATCATCACTATCACCAGCACCAATCCGTCATTATCGTTATTCTATACATATAGAATAACGATGGTTGGAATATATTCGCAATTCACAACAAATTATTAATCGCAGTGGCGATTAATCTAGAGAATTTGTTACATATTTATAAAGAACAAGCTCACTGTTCGTGCAGATGACAAGTTTCACAACTTCCAAATTCTTCTCTTTTAGCTTTTTTTATTTACATTTTTATTTACTTGCTATGATCACAGTTAAAATTATAATCTTTCCTTGCATACAAATATAATGTCGTCTTTTCATTGTCTTAACTACAATTTTCAATCTTTTGTGATTTTTATTTCTATAAAAAACAATTGAATCCAAGTTAAAATATGTAGTAAACGTTAATCTAACGAAATTAATTGAATGAATATATCCTTTTTTTTTATGGTACGATTTTATGTTTTAAATATTTAATTACCTGTATAAAATATCGCACATGCGTGTGTATTTCATTGAATATAATATTAAATATTTCTTTTGCAAAAAACTGCTGAATATCAAATCTTAAAATTTTGTTGCTTTCGTTATTTAAAGATACTTGAATGAATTG